AAATAATAATAATACATACGACAATCCCAAACATGCACATTCATTTTAACCCTGATTTTCTCAGAGAGGAAGGCATGTTCATGGAATGATTCTGAAGCAGTGTTCAGCGAATATTGAGACTGAAAGACAAACACTTCTGTTAGTTATATACTACTAATTAACAAGGACAAACTTAACCTATCCCTTTGAGGTGTAACACTTGGTTAGTAAAATGCATAACTATGTCTTGTTGTCTTGATCCTGATCTCTACTTATTGGCATTGCCCTTAAAAAGAAGACACAACTTTGCTAAAGGACGAACTAAAGTAGAGGCTTTAGTCTTTAACTTAACACTTCTGACAAATTAACTCTTATCCTTGAAAACTTCCACTATTCTCTCCAGGCCCCATGAGTATCTTGGAGTGGAATCCACCAACACCAAATCACCCACATTTCTATAAGGGTGAGCGCATTTTTGCCTTTCTTGAATCAGAGGCAGGTATTCTTTAGACCACCGCTTCCAGAAGATGTCTGCAAGATATTGAACTTGCCGACACTGCCCAACAAGATACTTGTCATGATCATTGAACGAACCTGGAGGCAAACTCTTGCCAGATCTTTGAAGCAACAAATGGTTTGGGGTCAGGACAACTTGGACTGTTGGGACATTCAGTCAGTGGTCGTCCGTTCATAATAGCCCCTTCTTCACGCAACAAAGTCTAAAGAGATTCATCATTCAGATGAAAATGTCGCTCTAGAACTAGGGAGTAGAAGATCTTCCTTGCACTTCTGATCAACCTTTCCCATATTCCTCCAAAATGTGACCCAGTCGGAGGATTAAATTGCCAGGAAAAAGCTTTCTGCGACAAGCTGTTGTGGATTTTTTGACGATTCCATGCCTCTATTGACTCTCACATCTCACGCTCTGCACCAACTAAATTGGTACCATTATCGGAGAGAATACTCTTGACTGATTCACGACGGACAATAAACCTGCGTATGATGATGATGAAGGAACGGGTATCAAGTGAATGTCCCCACTCAAAATGGACGGCTCGTGAAGTCAAGCAGGTGAATTTGACACCATATCTTTTTACGTCACTTCTACCACGCCGCACCTCAAAAGGACCAAAATAATCCATTCCAACATGACTGAACGGAGGTTCATTTAATGCCAGTCACTCGTGCGGCAAACTGGCCATTTTCTGCTGCTCAGCCGGTGCTTGGTATCTCCTGCAAACGACACATATAGAGACGATGCCTTGATGAGCGAAGGTGCTCCGATTAATGCCGGCAAAGTCTTGCCAGGACAGAATTCTTGCCCAAATGACCAACCTTCTTGTGTATGTCCTGGAGAATCAGACGAGATATGACCCAATTTCTTGGCAGTAGTATCTGAAGTTTTGTCTCAAAAATCAAAATCTGCTTTCAATCCGACCATTAACACGTAGAAGACCATCCACAAGCGTTCTCAACGAGGACGACCTTTTTACTGCTGAAGGCAGCGCTTCTTCTAATGTTTTGAGCCATCTGATCTCCTAGCCCAATGTTTCTGCTGCACAAAGTGCACCAAAGCCCTCTCAGCAGCCTTAAGGTTCTCTGCAGTAGGTTGAGCATGAATTAAATCTTCTCAGGTCTGTGATGACAAAATCACACTTGATTGGCTTTTCTGACTCTTGTTCTGCTCTGTTTCCTTATAGCACGCATGCGGCATCTTTATCTTGGAGATGCTTCATCCAAACCTGTATCCATGCAACTGCTCGCCTCAGTTTTGTCCAATCTGAATGATGCTCCAGCAGTCTGTCCACTGGATTGGTGGATGTCTCTGCTGTCATCAGCACAGTCTTCTTTACCTCAACATCATTTTCAGGTAGCTTAGTCTGATGTGTATCTTGCTGAGGCCATTGTGCTTCTGGCTGAGACAGGAATGCCGGACCTTCAAACCACGTAGAACACTGCAAGAATCTCTTCACCGACTGACCACATGTTGCACAATCAGCAGGATTGGACTTGGTGTCTATGTACTTCCACTTCTGCATAGTAGCAGCATCTCTTATGACTACAAGGCGGTTTGCAACAAAGGTCTGGAATCGGCAATTCTCATTTGCTAGGTACCGTAACACTGTTAGGCAGCACCTACTACTGGACAACCAAAATGTAAAACCGAATGTTTGTGAAGACCCGTAACATTTACATGTACAATGTATATCCCAACCGCGTGTAGCTTGCCTAAACAGTCCGAAATATTTTGGCAAAATGTAACACTCTTAATGTACAGTCAATGGCATTACAGAAATTGCACTAAACACTATAACGTTTGGGATAAAGAAACACTTTTATTACTAACCGTTTAATAAAACCTTAAGGGGATAATTCTTCCAACAAAGCGGAGACACGTTAAAACGTATCCTAGTCACATGGAGCCATGTTGCATACAGCAACTCCATTTTGCTTGCATAGCGCCCTTACCATGCTGGAAAAAACAAGTGCAAGTTTGGCCCTAACACTAGAAGTACCTGAACAAAATCAATAACAATTGAAAAACTCAGATGTCCACAGCGGTGACAAGGTAAATTTAAAAACGTCAGTGGTTGCTTCTGACAAATTAAGGTTGAGATCTGAAGACACCATTAGACTGCCGTCTACAAAGTGTGTTCCCCCGCATACTATTCCATAAAGTGCTCACTTAATCACGGGCCGGGCTAGACGTTCTCAGGATCGGGCCCACTGATCTCTTTCAGTGATGGGACCCATCCGGGCAAGATGGCTCATGCCCACACCCAATGGCAAGGAGAATCTCAGACGACCAACGGGCCGGTCAATGGACGGATGTGACAGACGCGCGGTTCGGGAGCAGCGATTAGGGCAAGATGGCGGCGTCTAGGGGTCCTTACAAAAATTATTGTATAGATAAAAGTATGCGCGCCGCGGACTCGACAGGTCCGATCCCGGATGCCGAACGACTGCCCTGCAGGACACGCCGATTTTTCGCTTCCACTGTATGATCACTATTCCGTTGGTTTGAAATAAATATTTTGTATGATATGAAATCAGACTCCTCCCTCCAAGACAGTGCAACTTTCCAACTTCGGTAAATCCATAAAGTAGTGTATACGGTCTAAGTTTGTTCCACAACGTATTCCAAAATAAATTAGACACTGTGTCAATCTTGACACGAAGTTTTCTGCATGAGATGTAGTAATATCAATTTTCATATACACTCAGTTGTATGTACTGCTGGTCAGGGTTGGCAACATTGAACTTCTGTTAAAGAATAACACTTCATAACTATGTGCTTCTTATTTTGTCCAGCCTGTCACAAGTATCCCATCTTCCCCATGCTGCTCCATTCTTAGGCCCGTTTATTATGCGCGTTATATGGTCATTGTAGCATCCAAACAAAAAAGAATCGATCATGCGGCAAAAGTTTTAGACCAATCACATACACATAATTTCCCAGTAGTATTTGGCATTCAAATTTAAGGCGTAGGTTGCGTTCAACCTGCATAAACTCTTCCATCTGTTACGTAAATTTATTATCTGTGTGTGTGGCCATGGTTGTTTTTGTCCATTTGTTACTGTTAAGATCCCTCTGAAAA